AATAAGAACCAAGATGCATTATGTAAAGGTACAATTCCCAATGAGAAATGTAATTGTGTTGTATACCTACAATGTACCAATAAAAGAATTAAATATTAAAAAAAAAAGAATTCTGGGACTCCTACCTTGGAGGTCCTCTCAGATGTTGATGTCCTGCCCAGGGAATGCATGGGGATAAATGGATTGCTGTCTCTAGTTTCAAAGCCAAACCTTTACAGGTCATTCTCTATTTAACTCAATGTGACTATGTCCAACTGTGGAGTCTTTGTGGGAACACATCCTATTTCGTCTACTGGACTCAGGCTTTGGCTTGCAGGAGCTCCAAGCTGTGAGGTCTGAACTATCATTTATGACTATCTAGACATGTGTAAATAATAAACAAAAAGAGGTAAAGGAGCAGAACTGTCTCAAATTATTTCCTTTCTCTTAGCCTTAGGTGATCACACACCAAATGAGAAAGAGGACTTCTTTTTTATTTTTTTGGTACTGGGGATCGAACTTGGGTCCTTGTGCTTGCATAGCAGGCGGCGAAACCACTGAGCTAAATCCCCGGCCCATGGACTTCGTACTTTTGAGACAGGCATGGTGCCACTGAGCTAAATGCCCGGCCCAGGACTTCTTTTTTTTTTTTTTGGTACGAGGGTTCAAACTCCTTGCACTGGCAAGGCAGGTGGCAGAACTACTGAGCTAAATCCCCAGCCCTTTAATTTTTTTTTTTCTTTTTTGGTACCGGGGATCGAACTCGGGACCTTGTGCTTGCGAGGCAGGTGCCAGAACCACTGAGCTAAATCCCCGGCCCTAGAAAAAGGATTTCTAATCCCATCTGCGAGGCTGAATGAAAAGTTTTCCTTCTGCTAAATCAGTTCTCAGAACTTCTGCTACCTGGGGGTCTCCAGTAGAGAGTCACCCCTTCCTGCTTCATAGTCCCTGAAGGTCAGCATCCCTAACAATGGTTATTTGTTTCAGCATACTGAGAATGCTGTGTAAATTTCAAGAGACACATAAAAGTCCAAAGGATTTTGCTTAGCTTAGTAACACTTCTGAGAATGGAATAATTGGTCATGACTCATTACCACCGGCAGCTGGATCCTAGGACTAAGTTTATTACTGTTTTTCTCATGTGGAAGGTAGGGATACTGACCTACTTTTAAGAGGCCATGCCCGCTGAATGGCTTTCACAACTCTGGGGAGAAAACTATTCAGTCTCCTTTTAACAAAGCTCTTCTGTAACATGGCTGCCTGGGTAGTGTTCTGGCTGGACAGTGAGTTTTCCCCTGTGGGAGGCCCATTAGTCTGGCTAAGGCTGCATATGGCTTTGTTGGGGCTCATACTCTTCCTTCCAAGATATGTGGCCCAGAGAGTTCAGGGAAAGGAGGTGGTATACAAAGCCAGGATGGCTCACCTGCTGCGTGGTGGCCAGACAGTACTCTGCTGTGCTCAGGATGCTGCAGATGAGGCAGAGCTCCTCAATAGTGAACTTGGCCACTTCAGAGCCCTCCTTTTCCTTTAGGAGGCTGCTGATGGTCAATCCTCCACTGCTGGTGGTGGTTCTGAAGAAAAGGAACAAAAATTAGCCAGGCCGGAACTTCTAATTTGCTTCCTGAGCCAGAAACTGCATTTTGTAAGACAAAGAAAAAAAGGAAAGGAAAGACTGGCCATGGCCCAAAGAAATCCACGTACAATGAGTCCTTTTCCTCCTGACCTCACCTTGACTGTCAACTGTTTAGATTCTTTCACCAACAAGAGTAGGAAGAGACAACTCCAAGAGTAATCAAGTGGGCCAGGGATTTAGCCCAGTGGTTCCAGTGCCTGCCTTGCAAGCACAAGGTCCCAAGTTCCATCCCCGGTACCAAAAAAAAAAAAGAGTAATCAAGCCTAAGCCTAACAACTACAAGGACCAGAAACAGAGGAGGGTGCTGAGCTGCCTCTTGCTTTAGCTTAGAATTTCTTGCTAGGCACAACTCATTTAGATTATCAGTAGAACAAAAGTTGGTTCTCCAACTGTTTCTCTCAGTTAAGAAAATTCTATACTGGGATTTATTTACATGTTGTATTTGAAGAGGTGTAGGTACTATTACACATGGTTCCTGCCTAAAGTCCTAACTGCCTCAGGATACTGAAAGGCAGCTCAAATTCTCTACAACAACAGTTTCTGTGGGGGCAGTCCTCACCCATAGCTTATGTTCTTAAATGGGCTCTAAGATAGCAACAATTACCCACTAGTTTGTGGATGCTTCAGAATTTTCTGGCTCTTTACACCTTGTCCCCATTTCTGTGAACAGCTGTCTTTACTAACAAAATCCCTGTTGAGTGCATCATTTCTTTTGTACTGGAATACTAATACACATAGGAACATGCTAACAGGATAATGTTAAGTGAAAGCAGCAGGGTATAAAACTATCAGTATTATAAGGCCCAATTCTGTTCAACAAACAAAAGCATGCACACCACACATATTATATGTGTGTATAAATAAATAAATAAATTAGAAAGAAATAAAAATTGTAAAATAATTTTCATCATAATCAAAGAAATTCACATCAGTAAACTATACATGACACTTCAAATCTCCTGTGGAGCATGGGTTATATTTTCTTTCCTCCAAATAATGTAAAATTCCCATATATGACACATTTAGTGACAATGATAAAAACTAATTCTAAAATTGTTAATTTAGCCATGGGGATGATTTGTAAATACTAAATTTAGCAGTGTTATATTAGGTCATATTCTATTATTGTTGAAACTGCTATATAACCAAACATCTCTAAAATGAATGACCTACTTATTTTAAATAATAAGCAATATAATAATCTTCTATGTCTCAGAATACAGTGAAGTCACTGTAATTGTGGGCTTTGCTATACAGCCTCCTCCCTGAAAATCCTATCATATCTTTAAAAACCAAACTCTCTCCAGCATAGTGAGATACAGATACCAGAAAAGAGACATTGGAACCCAGTCAGACAGAGGGAAATCAGACTCATGCCTCCTAACACTCCAGGTTATAATAACACGGAATGAGGCTTGAATGAAATCACCTATGCTATTTAATAGTTATTTCCATCACCTTGTATTTTGCCAAGTAGCTATTGTTGAATCCATATAAGTTACATGCATCCATATACTGTATAATAGGACTGACTCCCCAGAGTTCACTGTGGTAGGATGTGACCTACATTGGCAGCCAAGGTGGGCATCTCTGCTAATCGGCTGTGGAATGTCATTAGAGAGGAAAGAGTGTCAGACCTTGGGAACGTAAAATAAGGTTTTCCTCCTTGATACTCTTGGCAGTTCAATAAATAACTTCAGAGTTGATTTCTTTAAAGATTCCCATATTTAGGAATATTTAGACTCTCACTTCACCATTCAAACCGTGAAGAATGGGACTCACTTGGGCAGGTTGCCAGAGAGGATTTTCCAGGCGTATTCTCGGAGGTACTTCTGAAAAATGGTGGTCAGGGCAATCATTGGCTCCCCAGTGCTGAGCTGTGAGCATTGCACCATGCACTTCTTGTAATAAACAAAAAGGTCAGCACAGCTGGGGAGCAGAGCACTCCCTTCATCAGTGTTGGGCTTAGGTAGCCCCTGGGCTTTGAAATCAGCCACAAACCGATCTATCAGCTCTCCAAGGTTTCTAGAAGAAAGAAAAACTAAAATGTTATTTTTACTTCAAGAATTATAAAGCAAATTTGCCTATTTTCAATGTACATAAGTTGCTGCCATGATTAATCATTACTGACACTGTTTAAACTTAAAGTTGAGGGCTGGGGATTTAGCTCAGTGGCAGTGCACCTGCCTGGCAAGTGCAAGGTCCTGAGTTCGATCCCTGGTACCAAAAAAAACCAAACACAAAACCCCAAAAATCTTAAAATTGAGTCCATTTTTATCAATATCATCATTCACCACCACCCCTACCATAACAGCAGCAATGAAGTTTAGCATTTGTGTGCTGCTTTGTATTTTCTTTTTAAAAAAATTTTTATTTATTAAGTTTATTGGTACATTTTAGGTATACAATATGATGAGATTCATCATTGGGAATTTGTACCTTTACATGATGTATCTTGGTTATTATTTTTTCCCCATTCCCCTGCCCTCCCTTCAACCCTTCCACCTCTCCCTATTTACAAAGACTTTCCTCATATTTATATCTTTCCTTTCTTTCCTTTCCACAACCCCTTCCATTTCCCCTTTCCCTTTGGACCTTTTTTCCCTATTTCACATTATCTATTATACGTTTTGATCCTCATTTACACTTTCAGTTTCTCATACCAGAGAAACTATTCGGTATTTACGTGTGTGTCCTATATATTTCACTTAAGAGTATGGCCTCAATGTGTATCCATTTGCTCCTTCATATTTTCAAGGCACTTCATTATCACATTTGACCCTCAGACCTTATAAGGAAGATGGAGAATTGCTGGCCTTTCTAGGAGATGAGAAAACTGAGACCTAGAAAGTTTGTCACAAAACTTTGTGGCAGAGCTAAGTCTAGGGTCGACAATTCAAGTTAAGTCCACTGTCTTATTACTAGTTAATACTATGTCCCACAAATGAAAACCCTAAATAATACTGACAATGATTATTTTCCAAACATGTATACGGTACTAGTGTCATGGTGGTGCTTTTATATGCATCATCTCATTGAACTTCAGTTATTCTTCACAATAACCTTACAAAACAGGGACTGTTCTATCCTTTTCAAGAAGTTAGGTAATCACCTTGTCCAAAGTCATATAGTAAGAAACGGGGGAAATCAGGACCTAAAATCAAGTAGCCTGGGTCTAACCTTCATGTCTTTAACCACTTTACTTCACAAAAATGTTTACGATGTCAGCAAAGATTTTGACACCAAGAACCTAAATGTATCCAATGAATAGAGAAATTTTTTTGTTTGTTTTTTTTGGTACCAGGGATCAAACTCGGGTCCTTGCACCTGCAAGGCAGGTGGTGGAACCACTGAGCTAAATCCCCAGCCCAAGAAATTGTTTTTTAAAAAGTCAAACAAACAAAAGCCTCCCAGAACCTAATACTTTTCTTCTCTTCAATGCAGATTGCAGTTCTTTTCTTAGAACTTCCAGAATTGAAGATGTAACTAAATCTTAGGAGAAGAGCAGGTAGGAGCAGCTCTGAGTCTGCCTCACATTATGTAGGTGATAGATAGCATTGTGATCTGTCTCCCATTTCTCATTCAAACATCCCTGAATTTGCCTTCATCATTCTAAGTCCTCACAAGCCAGAGTCCAGTAGGATTATATCCACTGTTCTCTGCACAATCATGCAATGAGAGGCCCCCTCTCTTAACAACTAGCACCTTTTCTGGCTGCTGTCTAAGGCTACAAGAATCCAGCTATGTTTTTAAAATATAGTTATAGAACATATAATAGGAAGAAAAAGACAAGAACCACACATAACATCAATTAGCAGGAATAGGAAAAAAATTGACAGTTTACTCAAGTGCTTTTGTTATTCAAAGTTTATTATATCCAGATGTGACCACTGTGCCCTCAAAAGGCTTCAGCCCTAGGCTAGGTCTTTGTGATGATAGTCAGAATGCAGGAAAGGATCTCATTAGTTGACCTTGGAAAGCTCCATAGTCACCACCCCTGACACTCACAACCTCTTCTTGCTCTACTTTTTCATCTACCTTCCCACCTCTCTTGTACAAGTGTGCCTTCCCTCTACCCAGGCATCTCTCTGTGGGTCTCCTGCTCTGCCTGCTCCTGTCACTGGCCTTTGCCTATTGCCTCCATGGCAAAAGTGCTCTCTCTCTACCTCTGCTCAGCTCAGGCCTTACCCACACAACTCCAACCACATCAATCCTCAAGTGGGATTTCTATCATCTGCCACTTTTTTTTTTAACACCAACTATACAGTTTAAGGATGCCAACTACTCAACAAACACGCTAATCTTCCCTCAGCTTGGGCCCACAGTGGGTGATGCTAATCAACAGTGGGTCTTTTTTCCCCCTGATCAAGGGTGTAATTCCAGAATACTTCTTGGGTTACCATTCCAGCCAGTCATTTCTCCTAAGCTGAAGCTGGTACAAAAAATGAAAGCTGGGCCAGGGATTTAGCTCAGTGGTTTCGCTGCCTGCTGCGCAAGCGCAAGGACCTGTGTTCGATCCCTAGTACCAAAAAAAAAAGAGAAAGCTGACTGCTTTACAGTGGTAAAATCATTTGCCTATGTCTATTACCACAAGCTCCTTAACGGCAAAGAGAATGTTCATGCTCTCCTGGCCCACTACTCAGCCTTATGTATCATATTAATCTTCATGTTGGGACAGAATGCGTACTTAGCTCATCAAACTCCACATTTTGTTCCTAAGGGATGGGAATGAAGCAATAGAGAAGTGGAGATGGAACAGGGCTGGTGCAGTGAGGAGATATGAAACAGATTCCACTTGAGTCTGCTCAGGAGAGACTCTAATTTCCAAATCAACAGTGCCAACCAAAAGAGGGCCCAGAGGTCTGAGTGAGTCTTACTTTTTGTTTGTTTGTTTTTGTTTTGTTTTGGTACTGAAGATCGAACTCAGGACCTTGTGCTTGTGAGGCAGGCGCTGGAACCACTGAGCTAAATCCCCGGCCCTGATTCTTTAATCATTTATTTCATCTATTCCTCTAGAAGCTGGATACTCCTCTATTTCCTATTTCAGATCCAGCCTGATGAGTAAGATTATTAATTATGATCATACGGCATCAAGAAAATCTCACTTTAAAAGACTCCAAAGATTTACATTTTAAAGAATGTTCACCAAGTTACTTTTGACATTGTTCTCTAGCATGGATGAGAAGCCAGTCAAGGAAACATTCCTCAACCTGCCCTCTTCCACTCTTTGCATCAGCTTACTTCAATGCCACATAAGATGTTAAAAAATGAGCAGTCCATATTGCACAGATTAAAGAAAAAAGTTACTCCAGTGAAAATGGGGGTTATTTTTTGAATAGATTATTCTATCCAACGAAATACTGATTGATCACTTATTATTTGAAGTTGAAGTGTTGTTAAGAAAAAGATACAAATGAATTCAACTTAAAGAAAAAGGTTATCATTTGTTTCAGGCATCAAGGACTACCCTGAATTTTAGCAAGACTTTCACACAGGACTCCTAGAGAATGGGATGTGTGGCATAATGACCTTCTGACTAGAATCACAGGTATCTTTTACAACCTAAAGCAAGTGCAATCAAGTAGGAGTTTATAAAGGGCCAACTCTAGACCTAGGTGCTGTGGGATCAAGACAAGTTTCTGCCATTAGGAACTTTTGGTTTATTTGAGGAGATAGGACCTATGTGCTTACAATATTTAGATTGTATGGAGAAGAAAAAGGTCATTAATGCAAAAACTGATAAGACTCAAAAAAGGTCTAGAGATGAGTAAATAGTATTGTGCCAACTTTAACTTGCTAGTTTTGATAACTCTGATTTGGCCATATAAGACAGCAACAGTAGGAGGGAGTAGGATGAAGGGAATACGGGAAATCTGTACTATTTTTGAAAAAATTCTGTAGATACAAATTTATTCTAGTATAAAGTAAGGGGAGATAATGATGCCTATAATCCACTGAATAAAAAAGTAATCCATGAGCCATGCTGATGTAGGAAACAGGAAAAGTAAAAGCTATTTTCTTAAAGTAGATGCCAGCTAATAAATGAAGAAGAGATGACAGAAGTGGAAAAATCAACATTTGGCAACCATCTGGGTGAATTCAGATAAGACTCATCAATAGGTGGTAAAATAAGTAAGTAAAAGGAAAAGACTACTGATTCAGTTTCTCTAAACATTTGCTAATCACTTATTAATAAATTGAGAAACCTGGCAGACATCATCAAAACAAAGTAATAAAAATGAACATCTCAAGTTATGGGACAACTGACACCGGGTCCCTTCTGATATGAATTACCAAGAACACAGAAGCACTTCTGCAAACATAAATCATGACAAAACATCAGACAAACCCAAATGCAGGGAAATTCCACAAAGTTGCTGCCCTTTGTGCTTCAAAAATTTCAAGGTCATGAAAGACAAAGAAAGTTCTGAGTTACTCTTCTGTACAGAAGGAGACCAAAGAGACAAATAAATGCAGCCTGTTTTCTGGAAAGAATCCTAGATCTATTTAACCCCCACCCCTCCAAAAAAAACCATGATTGAGACAACTGGTAAAATGGGTAGGGTTTATGAATCAAATGGTAAAATTGTATTAATGTGAACTTCCTGATTTTTATAATTGCATTGTAGTGAAGTAGATTGTGTCTTTGTTTTTAAGAAATACATGTTGAAGTATGAAGGAGCAATGAGACATCTTGCCTGCAACCTGAGAATTCAAATGGTTCAGAAAAAGTATATGGCTATATATGTGACAGTGTGTGTGTGTGGAAGGAAAGATAACTGTTAACCAGGGGGTCTGGGTGAAGAACATACAGGAACTCTATATACAATTCTTTTTTGGGGGGTTACCGGGGATCAAACTCAGGACTTTGCAATTGCAAGGCAGGCACGATGCCATTAAGCTAAATCCCTGGCCCTATGTACAATTCTTGTAACTCTTCTGTAAGTTGGAATAAATAATAAAAAACAAACATAACTAGTTACAGAGAGAATCTAGGCTTAATAAAGCTGGGAAGGGAGCAGGAAGCTCAGGAATGGGCAGAAATGGAGTCACCAAGACGTTCCTGACTGAGAATACCAAAGAATGGACAGGAGACAGCGCCTATGGAAGAATCTCTTCTTCAGAGTCGCCTAAGGGAGATTACTACATATCCCTGGGTGAAAGATACACTATTTTCCTCCTTAAACATAAATAAAAATGGAGAAAGCCACTTAAAGCACGTAAGGACAGCTTAGCGCAACCTATTAAGGAAGTGGCTACAGGGATCCTAGTTCTTGCTTTTCTCTGAGCACTGGCTCTTTAGGCCTCCTACTGCTGCTTGGCCTTTGGCTAAGGAAAGTGGTGTGAGAATGTTCTCTGGAGAAGTGAGAGGCTGAGAGATGAGAGGGTGGACCCCATGCCAGGCCCCACAGGAAGCTGGCAATGCTGATAAGGGCACCCACCCACACAGGAGTCATGAACAAGGTCACAGGGAGGGCAAAACAGGCACAGTTCCGGAGTACCATTCACTGTTATCTAGGGCCACTGTATCATCTGGTTTCACTCTCACTACAAATCCAGTGAGGAAGGCATTGTTAACTTCATTGTAGTGATGATAAAACAAAGTGAAGTAGCTTGCTTTGGGTCCCAAGCTAGTAAGTGCAGAGCTTTGATTCAAGTCTAGATTGGGCTGGCACCTGGGCCCCTGCCCTTGCCAGTAGGCTGGGCTGCTCTCTGTCATCTGAGAGCTTATGAACAGTCTAAGATCTTTCTCCTTTGCAGATTTGTGAATTAGTGCTACAGAGAGAGCAGTAATTGCACAAAAATCAGTCACCACCCAAGTTCCATCTCTAGCCTCAGAATTCTTTGACTGAAGGGAGGAAAGGCTTCCTAAAGCCCCTTGAAATACTCAAAATTAGTATGTGTGTACACTTGAATTTTTTTTTACAAGAATGTCTATAGTTTTCTATGGCTCTTTTTTTTTTTGGTATAGGGGATCGAACTTGGGTCCTTGCGCTTACATGGCAGGCGCAGAAACCACTGAGCTAAATCCCTGGCCCAAGTGTCTATAGTTTTCAATGGGTTCTTAGGAAGGATCTATAACTCATAAAATGTTAACAATCATTACTTTAGGCATCATTTTGTCTGACTGTCCTCTAATAGAAGAGGAAGTAGTTATTTAACTCTATCTTCTACTTCAAGCTTCTACAGCTTTGACTGGAGCCACAACAGCACAACCTGTGTAGTCCTCCTCCACTGAAGAGCTTCCGTTGCTTTCCCAATGCTTGGAAACTTCTTAGTGAGGCCAAATGGAGGATAAGCAGCATCTTCTATAAAAAAATGGAGAGGCCCTGAGGAAGGGAGGCTGGCTCTTTGCCCAAAGTGTCACGAATAATGAGTAGACTCTATGTGAACCAAGGCCACATGAAGAGTAAATATGAGAACTATTATAATTCAGAAAAGTGACTGTTTTTTTTTTCAGTACCAGGGATTAAACTCAGGACCTTGTGCTTGTGAGGCAGGTGAGGTGCCACTGAGCTAAATCCCTGGCCCAGAAAAGTGACTCTTTAGATCAGGTTGGTTTTGGGAAAGGATGTGGTTATCTGAGGTATGTATACTTTATACCCTGAGGCCTGTAGCTTTCAAGCCTTTTTTGAAATAAGAATTTTTATTAGAATTTGAGGTGATAAGGAAAGTTGGGGCTCTGGCTGGGGCTGCCCAAAGATGTGTTAGTCTTAACAGGTAAACAATCCTTTTTCCTCTGTCCCTCAGGGGTTGTCTTATGAACTTCCTGTGGGAAAACTTTTTTTTTTTTGAGATGGAGTCTCACTATGTTGTTCAGGATGATCTTGAGCTCAAGGCTTAAGCGCTCCTCCCACTTTAACTTCCTGAGTATCTGGGACTACAGGCATATACCACTGTGCCCAGTTTGGGAAGAAACCGAGTTCAGAAGACTGGGTGCTCCCAAAGGACAAAACTGCCCTTCTGTGTGCCTGCTGGACACATGCCCAGTAGACAGAGAGGAGGAGGGAAACCAAGGCTTCACAAGGCAAACAATGGCAAGTCAATTTTTTGCCTTGGGGGAGGGGGTTTGTTTTTGTTAAAATGGAAAGTCTTTTACAAGGTTTAGTTTCTGGGATTTCAGTGTAAAATATTTTGTAATCAAGGAGTAAGAGGGTAGAAGAGAAGTTGGGCTTTGGCTATAACCATAAAACCAAACAGATGAAACCAATACAGTGGTACCTTAGTTCACGAACATTTGCTTTTCTTTGCAAACAATTTGGTTTGCAAACAGAAACATCTGGCAAAATTTTGTTTGCAAACTCTGCATGAGTGACAAATATGATCACGACCATCTTTCCCATACAAACACAGATGTGGCCCTCTTTTCCAAAATGGTAGAACAAATTAAGTTCATGAACCGAGGTAACACTGTACTCTCACAGAGTGACTCTACCTGAAACATTCTCTCAATATTATGGCTTACCCCTGAAATACTTGAAAACAAAAATTTGATAACCCATGATAGAAGCATAAAAAAAGAGGAGTGGGGGGAGCCTGGGTAGGTAAAGTAGGGCCTAAATATGTCAGTCCTGACTAAAGTGAGTCCTTCACAAACAAATGGGACAAAGCAAACAAGGCTGCTTTTAGCAAACAACAGCAGCTTCTCAGTAAACAGGGCAAATGGACTCAAAAAGAAGTATACAACAACCCTTCTGGTGCTGAGAAGTCCAGTAATTGTCCGAGCAGACCATCCTTGGGCATCCAAATCATAAATATTTCACCCTAGATTCCTTAGCTCCTTCAAAACCTGTATAAGCCTAATTCCTTTCCCAGTTAATTGCTAATATCTCTCTCCTGGTGTTGGCCCATCCACTCATGGATGAAATCTCTCCCAGCTAGCTGCCACTATCTCTCTCCCAGTGTCAGCCCATCCACACACAGATGTGACAAACTTTGCTTTTCCCAGCTAGCTGCCAGAATCTCCTGATTTTCCTTTCAAAAGCCTATTTTTGACACGTAGATTCTTTATGAAAAAATGTTTTCCCAGAGAACTTTCCTCAAGAGCTTTCTCACAGCCACTGCTATTCTCCTGTGTGAGCCATTCTCTGCCCTCCTGGGTGTCCTCGGTAGCCAAGGCCCAGCCTGGCTCTGGGTAGCCTGTCCTGCTCCAGAAACCCAACTTTTCCAAAACCTGCCTTTCCTCTCAACAGTACTCTGGCCGTGGCAATTGAGGATGAGGCGGGGTCTTTTTCCTTTGCTAATATCCCCCACATGAATAGGGCCCTGGAACATGAAACCCTCCTCTGGCTGGGAAGGAACTAGACTGTGGTGGGCTGATTTGTAAAGATTTTGGGGGCCTGTGAGTTTGTGAAAAGTATATATATTAAATGGATGTCCCATAAACTAAACTAGGAATTCATACGTTCATACTGATATAAACAAACATATGGGGTAGAAGAGAAAACTCTTCCTTACAACAGAACTCCAATAGTAAATGGAGCCTGTTTTCTGGAAGAAATGATGGAAGTGAACAATCAACATTAGGCAAACATGAGAGGAACAATTGCTTCAGGCAATTATCATCAAAGGATGCTAAAATGAATGGGCAAATGTGGGATGAGAAGCACAATAGTGACATAGTTTCAAAGTATTTTCCATAAAATACTTAGTAATTACAAAGAGAAAAATGGTAACTCCACAGTGGAGAGAGCCGGCAGGCACCACCTTACATAAGTGATCCAAGTTAATATAATCAGTAAGGACATAAATCACCATGATGTGTCACTTGAGCTGGTGCACTAAGAAGGATGAAATGTCACTTCTATGGTCTTCTTGCTAAAAAAGCATAACCTACATTTAGTTAAGAAAAAACTAGGCTAGTCAGGAGGCTGAGGCAGGAGGTTCATGTGAGCCCAGGAGTTCAAGACCAGCCTGGGGAACACGGTGAGACCCCATCTCAAAAAAACCAAAGAGAGACCTTAGGCAAACTGAAATTGAGGGGATTGTACAAAATAGCTAGTCAATATTCTTAAAAAGCATCAAAGTCATAAAAAACAAATAAAGATAAGGAATTAATTCAAGATTAACAGAGACTAAAGAGACCTGACAGATAAATGCGAGATTATTAAGTTCTAGACCAGAAAAAGGATATTAATAAAACAATGTTACCTTCTTGATAGTGACAATTGTGATTATATAAGATATTAACATTCTTTGGGCAAGGTTATATGAGACTTTTTTGTCCTATTTTTTGAACTTTTTTGACAGTAAAAATTACTTCAGAAGGAAAAGTAAAATTATATATGAAAATATGTACTGTGGAGATTAGGCTTTCTTATGATGCCCAGTGCCTGACTTGGTAAAGTTTTGTGGGCTGACATACTGTATGTCAGGGCTCAATCAGGGCTCAGCACCGACATGCAAACGGGGAGTTAGGATCTACTGTGGGGCCTTATTACAGTCAAACTTAGGGCTCTAAGATTTAGAGGTGAAATGATAACACATGAGCTTCCAGGGAGAGTCACAAGTATATCAAGTCCCTCCTTCAGCTTCTGGAAGGAGCTGTGCCCTTGTAAGACCCAACTTGATGAGAGGGGCTATAAACCCAGGCAGGAAATGGTAAAATGTCTGTCACTTACTTGTCCTGGGACTCAATATACACATAGAGATGAGGCTCAAAACACTTGGAAACAATGCCATGAAATGGATTGTCTGGAGCTTTAGGCTTCTTTGGCTGAAAGAAAAAAAAATGAAACCCTGTATTTGAGCAATTTTTGCAAATTCTCAAGCAATTTCAAAAAACATATCACTTCAGTCTTTATCTCAACCTGATTAAGGCTATTTATGAAAAACCAACAACCAACATCTTACTAAATGGTCAAAAACTGAAAACTTTCACGTTAAAATCAGGAACAAGACAAGGATGCCCACTATCACCACTCCTGTTCAATATA